AATACTATTTCGTATAATTTTTATTATGTTGGTTCTTTCTAAATAAACATACCTACCAGGAGTGTTTTTTACTTTAGGATACAAAAATGACTTATAAATTATCAAATATTTAACATATCACTAGACAAAAATGGATGAATTTTCTTTTTAAAACTGTCACACGTAATCTTATAAATAATTTAAAAATGTAATCACAATCGTCCTAACTTTGCCTCAAACCTGTCTTTAAACAAATGCTCATATTTCATTACCTCAATACCACTTTCGGTGTGGTTTGATTATGAAATAAAAAAGAAAACGAGAAAGTATACAAAAAGGTATTTATTTTGTTGAATTCTCGACATCAAAAATATTTTATACAAAGCTAATAAACTTCAACATGACCACCATTTGTTTCTCTAAAGACGTTCAGACGATGATCAATTTCAGCCCACATTTTGTGCAGCATTTCTCTTGTTACAATGGAGACAGCATCTCTAATTCTTTCTCTCGGATGGGCCGAATTAGATTTTTTTTATAAACTATGTTTTTAATGACATATCCCCAAAGAAAAAATCCCATGGAGTCAGGCCCGGGCTTTTTTGAGGCAATGCCATAGGGCCACATATATTCAATTCACCTGTTTGGGAACAACTGTTTGGGAACCTATTTAAGACAGATAGAACATTGGTTTTATAATGTGGAGGGGTTCCATGCTGCTTAAAACGAAGACTGTTTGCGTTTTTCATTCTATCAAGATTAGGAAATCAACAGTTTCCCAACATGTACAAATAAACATACCCATTGATGTTTTTTTCTGAATGAAGAAAAACTGTCCCTTCTTTTCTGGACAAGCCACACCAAAAGTTCATTTTAGGCGAATAAAAATATTCTCTTTCCTTTTCAAACATTTCATGAGCATTCTGAGATCCCCAAGTTCTAACGTTGTGACTACTGACACAACCTTTGATGTGAAACGTAGATTCGTCGGCAAAAAAAAAATTTCACTAAAAATTAATTCGCTTTCCGCTATTTTGCTCAAAATAAACCTAGCAAATCCTGCTCTTTTAATCAAATCCGTTGGTTAGATTTTTTTGAATGAATTTAATTTTATACGCATGAGGATGGAGTCCTTTATGTTAAACTTTGGGAAGTGTACTGACAGGAATTTCTAATTTTCAGACTACGGCTAGGGAGGGATTTTCACGAGATGGTCTTATGTTTCCAACTCCCTGGCTCAAGACCAACAAGACTGGTGGTGTACCAGGCCTACTTTGTTTTTAACTGACCCAGTATTTATGAACTACTTAATTACTCCAATACAATTGTCCAATACAACGACGAATGTTATTTTCTTGAGATGGAGCTTTGTTAAATGTTCTTCAAAATTCCCGTTGTACCGGAGTCAAACAGAAAGTAAGTCTGTAAACAAATACAAATTGAAGTTTATTAAAAAGAAGAGTTTTCGATTAGCACAACAATCGACAAAGCTGTTTAAACAAGGCTGTTTGAGCTACCGGACGCAGGGGTACCAATATTGAATATTTAATTCGTCAGACAATTAAACCCCCTCCACCATTATTTTATGACACCACTGTATTTAAACCGTATGTTGACAAGCTTAAGATATGTACATGTATTAATATTAACATGGTTCAAAGCATGTGAGATCGTTTATCATTCAAATAAAGCTAAAAACTTCAGTATACTTATCCCAACGTTCTTACTGTACGAAATACAGTACATACTTACAGTACAGTAAACGAAATATTACTAACAAAATACAGCGGCTTTAGACACCAAACGTAGTGTAAAATGTTTCTGATGTACCAACGATATTACTGGTGATATATTTTACAACTAAAGATCCAGCAAGTCCCCTTCCACGCTCAATGTCTCACTGAGAGACACTGTCTCGACTTCAATTTAAAAGTTTACTCTGACGTGGTCGATATCATTACAGTATGCCCCTTGCCAACCTGAAGTTTTACTGAAGTTATTGATTGGTTTGTATTTATGAGTATTACTCCATTGAACATTTCTGTGATATCTGCTGATATTTCGAGAACTGTCCAAATACTGGCCTTGACTATGTCGACTTTTTATAAAGCGGCATCGTTAAAAGTCAATTCACACATCAGTGCAGTCACAGTTCAGTGTCAGTTGCAAATGCAATTCCTTAGTCAACTGCCTATCAGTTGGCCTTCCGTCACTTATATGCAGTGATGTTAGAGTCAAAAGTGTGTGTTCTAGAGTGTGATATTCTATCAATCTTTCACCTACGATCTTGATAATTGTTTCAAACAGTACATATAAACACAATTATATAAATAACACGAACACTATTTATAAAATGTGAAACACATACTTCACACGACCTTCAGCATATGTCACGCGTCCGAACAATAAAAAAATATCGGTGGGGAGAAATCTGAAATTGACTGACGGACGCCCCAGAACTACTGACGGAGTGCGCCATATGAGTGTAGATAGCGGAATTGAAAATCTATTAAGAAAAAATCTTTGCTGTGACTTGAATTATGTAACTGAACTGTGATGAGGCGGGACTGAATCGACCATTGAGAAAAAATGGCATCGTGGTGCAGAATTGATTCCACTTGGAATCAAAGTATAGGAACTTTTGAAGGCAAGCACTATAACCGGTCGGCTACCTAAAAACTTTTAATGGTGACACTACTTCACCTTTACGATGAAAGTTTAACTGTGACATTAGGTCAATATGACTACGTTTACCGTTTATCTTTCATTGTGTGGCTTGTCACTACTTTTGTGAAAGGTTACTACCGTGACATTGTCAACAACAGCATTATGTCACTCACCCCAACAGTAGAAGTCCAGTCAGGCTTGTTATTGAAAATAGAGTGTCACTACAGAATTAGAAGTTTATTGCGACATTGTGTTCGATATTACCATAATGTCGCAATATGTAATTTACTGTGAATCATACCAACGTTGTGGATACCTTTCTTTTGCCACGTAGAGTAAAAGAGTAAGCATACTACCATACGTATTTATATAAAAAGATCCGTTTGAATACTTGAGAGTGAGTTTGGTGAAACATGTGACAAACTTGGGCATCGGATAAACTATTCACTACTGCTATATAGCTGGTCCCAGCAATGGGACTGTGGATCCCTTATTGTGTTACACTTTGACACTTGTCACTACTGTGATGACAAATTTACAATGAAACCATCACCATTGCAGTTTTATAACTGTAAGCATTTTGTTGTAAAACATAATTTGTCTTTGTTTCTATTGTTGTTAATTTACGTTTACATTGCGGTCACTATCGTCACGTGGAGCTCCTTTATTGTGTGTCACACAATACCACCATTGACTTTATACCACTTTGTCACTTCAAAATAGCAGGTTTACTCAGACATTGTATTTGATACCACAATTTATTGTGTGTTATCGTGTCTTGGCGTAAATTATAGTCAAACGCTGACATCGACTAAAAACTAAAACTCTGACAAGGACTGTAAACCGATATCAAAATTCCACTAGTTCCAGTTGTAAAGTCATGGCTCATCATATTATATACTTCATGCCATATAGTCAAAGGTATGGCACATTGTCACTTAGTCTCTATTTGAGTGAAAGGTTTAGTCTGACAATGTGTTTAATACCAGCTTGCCTCAGTTGTTTGCCTGTGTGTCATCCTATTACCTACTTGAGTGATTAGATTGCGTTGTTAATTACGTATATGCTTGTCCTCCCTTCTCTGCACGAGAACTCTAATTGTAAGTGTTATCCCTTATTATTAATGTAGTATTTGAAGACATTACATTATTTATATAGATTAAAATGTGTATTATACTTGCCTTGAGTCAGAAAAACATGATTATAGAAAATGTATAAGTTGTTTTTTGTTTAAACTCAAAAACATTGGAATGCTTACATTGGAACTAAGTTTAAATGATTGGAAGATGTTAGCTTACCGTTTTATTATCAGAAAGGAATACGATACCTGTAATATTATAACACTATTGAATAAATCACTGTATTAAAGATGAATACTGTTACAACCCTTAAATAATGTATTGTGCTGTTGAGAGTTTACATTAATTTTGTTATCTGAGCTTTTACAATGTGAAAAAATCTTAATACTTTAATTCAATGACATTCGAAATCAACGTGACAAAATTTAATTGAAAGCAAACTATGGAATTGATACTACTTGCATTACTTGTTATCACCCATTCTCTTTACCTGAACCAAAGATTTGTTAATATTACCACGTACATGTTATGTAATGTATCACCATCATATAGTATCTGTCACTATATATAGAATCTGGTGATAATATGTTGTACCATAGTTTATCTATTGCATTTTGTCACGTTGATTTTGAATGCCATTAAATTAAACTATTAAGTTTTCAGAATGTAAAAACTCAGATAACAAAAATAATTTAAACTTTCTGTCTGCAATTGAATTCTACTAAAAATAGTCCATAAAATTGAGCTTAATTGTGTTTTTTTTTTACCAGCGGAATATATTATTTAAGAAATATAATAAACGCGCGGTTTAGTGTGGTAGTTTTAAAATTAACATAACAATATATCGAACAATTTAATCTATTCAAGCTTAAAAAGATATTGGCCAAAATAAAAAAACGTTATGTATAATCTATCAGGTCTAACTGTGCACAAGGAACACTTTTATACACTTGTATTTTGATGGATAAGCTGAAGATAATTTTAAAGTATTTTTATATCCTGTTTGTTTACGCGTTTGTTGTTTATTGTTTCTTCAAGTTTTAAAGTTTTTTTTTTTTACTTTAATTATCCATATTGCTCCTTCTCCAAGCATCATCCTTCTTTGTGCTCATCATAAGCACAAAGTAATAAACAAACAAATTGTGAATCTAGCCCGAAATAAGAAGATTTAATGGCGGTCCATTTAAACATTACTATTGTGAGACACTTCATCAAACTTCATGTCTTACAATGAGATGAGTGTACTTGCAGTATCCAAAGTCAATGATTACGTACCTGTCAGTTGAGTATCCAGTAAGAGGTGACACTCGCGACAACCCAACTCCGCCAAAGACTCGCGCGGACTAACATGAAGGAACCTCCGTACCACGAGCATCCCTCACGCACGCGCACACACATTCACACGCGCCGCACTTTACATACCACCCCAGTCAGTGCAACACCTTGCTTCTTGTGGCGTTGGTGAAACATATAATCTGATATGCAAAGAAACATTTAAGTCGTGATAGCTGAGTAGTTGTAGTTGTTTGAGTCTCAGGTTAGATTCCGAATCAGGTGTAATTTCTCATTTTTCTATGATAAATGATGTACCTAACGAAAGAATGGCATTAGATAGTAACACGGATTCAGACTGTTTACTTATGAGATTATAAAAATGCCAATGACTTAGACAACACAATTAGAAATACAGGCTAATAGAACCTGGGAGCACCACTTTGAAGTCCAGTATGGTTCCGTTTGTTGATGGTACCGTAGCTGATCTTGATTATACGATAATTAATAGAGTAAAACAAATAATGCATCTCGTTCAGTCTGAATCTTTCTGAAGTTCCTATCTGTGTTTTAATATGCCTAGTCACGTCTATCCTCAATACAAGCAGACGTATTGTAGCCTATTTTATAAGTGGATGCCAATCAATATTATTTAATAATTATTTTAAATTTGGTACCTATGCTTTTATAGATGACGTAGTAATTATACATTTAAAAAAAGAGCGCATTACTTGTGCAAAGCACGAACATTTTCTAATTATCTACATGAAATACATCACAATCATGTTCTTATACATATTTAACCACCGTCATGGACCAATTTCTTTGTTGACATTTGAAAATGACATTTATTATCAAAACAACTACGATATTACAGTAGCAAACACAAAGCTGAAATGGGAAATTAAAATGTCTACTTTGTAAGCGCTCGGGAGAATGGCAAAGCTCTGACAAAGCGATGAGAGAGGCGTACATAGAGATAATGAGTTCACCAAGAGGAGACGTTTTTGTTCAAAATTACTCCCATACATGATAAATGTTTGCATTCGCACTCAACGTAACTCTACACTTTATTACGACGTTCATCATTCTTCAGTTTCGTTTGGAAATTTAGCTAGTTAGCCTTTTGAAACCCATCGTTATTAGGAAAATCATTTTCGAAACAAATTATTAATTAGAGGGTGGCCTTGGGTAAAATGTCTTAAAAATTCTACAACTTGTTGCGATTTTTAATGCGTTTTTCATACGAGTGCTCTAAATTTATTGTGTTATCTTTTACCATCTCCCCTTATGAATCACAAAGAAAGTGGCCTATTGTTTTCGTAAAAATGTTTGGAATTGAGTTTTGGGTGGAATTATTCGTTGTGAGTCACTCAGGACCAAAAGAAATGCTTTTCGAAGTGATGGCTGTGTGTGGATGTGTACAGCGATACAGACAACAGATTTAGTACTATCACCAGGATTTTCTTTAAGGTTTGATTTTTAAATTGTGATCTTCTCCCATAAAGAAAACCCATAAGCTACTTCCTCTGCACCTAAGCAGATTATCCACTATTATTTTTATGCTATCAAGTGGGGTATAAATCTTATTACTACTTACTACTAATTTATTACTATTAAATATTATTTTTATTACTACTCATTTTACCTATTTTATGTTTTTCAAGGTTTTGATGGAGGCTGGGAAAGTTGTTGAAGTGTAGGACCATTGGCCTATATTGTGGAGAGGTGTATAGTAAATGGTATGACTTATGTTCTCGAGGCCATGTTTAAAACCCGATCATCTCTGAAAATTTCCGATGCCTTTCAACAATGTTATGAGCTCATGATCCAGCATGGGCATCAGAAAGACCACGACGTTATTGTGAAATATCAACATGGCTCAAATAAAGGCCACGCCCTTTTCGTTATTTTTTCGTTTTTCACTCCCTAGATTTATTTTGTAACGTTCTAATTTAAAGAAACCATTTATGATTTGGTTGCCAAGCCAATGTAGGCCCTCATTTTAGGATTGTGAAATATTTAGCTGGATTTGCAAAACTGTATTTTATGGGTAAAAATCATGCAAAATATTCTAAAATTGGTTAAAAAGTAGTTAATTGAATTATTATTTGTAAAGGTTAAAATTGAAGATATTTAAAGTTTTGTAGAACTATTTTAATTTGTTTTAATCAATAATATAATAGCTTACAACTGATACAAATTAATCACCATTCTAATTTTGTAATCTGCATCTTCGGGAGATCACCGCCTGATTGAAGTGATGGAAATACTGGCTGTAGTTTTCAATACGTCAAGCAAATTAGTTTTTTTTTTACATATTTGCGATACGGAATTAACGATACATTTTGGAAATGTATTTGAAATGTTGGCCAGCATTTTCGTATGTTGACGTAATCATCTCCCAAAGATAAAATGTGACACTCTAATTTGGCCCCGGGAACCTACAAACAAAACACTCTATTTTTTTATTTGAATTTTAACTGTAACCATACAGTGGGATGGATAAAAAAATTATCAACAAATCAACAAAGAGATTTTCTGGTAGAGAACACAGGTCAAATTGCTGACATTCATAAAGTAAAACTATAATTGAGTTGATAAAAACTTAAGTTATTATAAACGAATTTTGAATAACTTCATCTGTAGTTATCCGAATAGAAGGATTCAGGCTATTTAACTTTTAATGTGAACCGATTTGTAACAAAAAATCCTCCCAAAGAACAGTTATTAAAACTTTTCTCATATTGTCGTGAGACTTGTCTTATATAACTTATATTGCAAATAAACAAAAAAGTTGTATGTGTTTGGTATTATTTTACTCGTGAAACAAACTCACACTATTTGTAGAAATTTAAACGTTTCTTAATACTTTTTACCTTTATTATTGCAAATTTACAGTTGTTCCGTGTGTAATTTTTATTCGCCCCTTATTATATTATATTATTATATTAGAAAACTGTTGTATTTTGTGCCGAATGTTCAACGTTTGCATCATAAACTAAGTTACCCACTGTACTTCTAGAATTGAGTTACACAGCTTTAGTCCTGCCGAATAAAAATAAAATTGCACCCTGCCGAAACTTAAATGATTATACATTTTAATTCTTCAGTAGATTGATAAAGATTTATACGTGAGGATGCTTAATCATAGACTAACCATCACAAGTAGACTTGCCATCCCATTGTAACATTTGAAGCTTGTTGTGTCTAGTTCGTTTTGGCAACATTGGGCGCTATTGTCAACAAAATTTTGTTTATATTATTTAGGGTTAATTTTACGATTTCCGCTTTACTGTTTGGTATATACCTAGGTAACGAATTACTGCTTATTAGATTATTATATTTGGTTAAACAAGGTGTTAAATAATTAAAACGCAAAAAAGTTTTGATTAAAAAACGTGATCCCAGTGGCATCGGACGGAATTAACAAAAAGGTTTTGTTCAGCTGACGAAAAGGATGACAAATCTACTAAGGGAGTATGTTTAATCTATGGTTTAACCACGAAAAATGCTAAAAACACATTCAAAGGTTGAATTAATGTGAAGGGAAAACTCAGGGTTTTATTTTACCTGAAATAACAGAGAGTGGGATTAACACCAGTGATGTGCAACATTTTTACGGTAACGTACGTTCTTTGTGATTTACAATAGCACTTCGCTTCTGCCATTGATGCGCTGGCCTGATGTATTTATTTCCCTATTCTTTACACTCAACCTAATGAAACGTTTTTACTCTTGACCGACTTCAACGATTTATAGGAGTTTAAAAACAATACCGTTCTTTTGTGAAAATAATGTGTATTTGTAGTTTAAAATCTACGTATAGAAAAACCCGTTGATATTATTTTAAGATGTCAGACTAACATTAATAGAACCAAAGTCATTTTTAAAGTATTGGAATTCTTTATAATTGACATAAAAATACAACGTAGTCTTTAGATTTTCAGTACATGTCGGCAGTTTCATGGTGTGGCTTGTTTCTGCAAAATGTTATTTCGACAGCTAAATCCACGTGACTAACTTCGTTGAGGGTTAACACATTTAACACATGCATTATACTCACGATATATACTATTTAAAATGCAATAATTTTGATGAGGTGGGCCTTTTCTAGGGGGGGGGAATGTCTATGACCATGAGCAAATGCTAAAAATCATGTTCAGAAACAGTTTGAAATAGATTAGCAAATTGTATTGCAGTAATTTGCAACGTTTGCACTGCCAAAAACTTTTATAAGTACAGTTCACCTTCGTACTGTACCGGCTCACTCCTTGCTTTGCTGGATACGTTCCACGCACAGATCTGCAGTCTATGTGGACAGGCAAATGCAAGGTGAAAAGAGACCGACAACCTCTTTTTGAAAAAAAAAATTGAAAAATAATTAACGATAGGTCTTAAGATATATAAACTATCATGTATTTCCTTTAAGCGAGTTTCTTTTATAGGGAATAAGCTATTACCGTAGGTCTCATTGTAAGACCTAGACCCAGGACCGTTTTTCTTTTTCGTTTGGAGGTCTCCAGAGGCCAAAAACACCATCCGTTCGAATTCATATATGTCCGTTAGCGCAATAGCTCGAGCACAAATGATCCGGTTTTGATTTGGTACAACCCTTAAACCTGCGTGTATTCGAACGAGTTCACGCGAACCAGCATGATCGAACTTTTACGGAACAGGGGGTGAAAATTGGTTTTCCCCATTTCTGACTCTAAAGACATACGATTAATTTGACATACGAATTCACTATGCACTTCCATCGTTTGGTGAATGTCTTACTCTTGACTTGTAGAGTTCTTCTTACAAGGTTGCAAAACCGAGCCCTAAGGTTTGTCTTCAATCTGAGGAAGTTTGGTCATAAAATCTGCCTATCGCAAACAGGCTAAGGTGCTCTCTTTGAAAAAACAATGTTTTCTACAAAATGTTTTGATTGTTCATAAGACACTGTCTTCAAATTTGCCTCCCTATTTGAAAAGGAAACTTGTGCCTCGAACATCAGTTAGGAAACGCTGTACTAAAGTCCAGCCATAATTATTTAACAAAACATTTAAATCAAGTAGCACA